ACACACACACACACACACACACACACACACACACACACACACACACGGGACCAATACAGAAGAAGAGGAAGAAAGAAAGCAGCTCATATCTACATTGATGCACCCACTCAATCCAGACAGATACTAAGCTTCTCTGTCAGGCTGGCCAGACATTCAGGTACTGAAAGTAGACGATGCGGTTGTGATTTACTGATTATTACCTGTTCATTCTTGCACCACAACTATCAAGAAACCCAAAAAACACAGCTCCTACCATAAAAAAAAAAAACCCTTCCGAAATGTATTAAACCATCACACTGTTGAGACAAAACCGACACAGCATCACAGACAGAGTACACAGAGAGCTGATACATAACTAAATGGTATGTAACCTAATGTGACTCACTTTTGTTGTAGTGTTTCCACAGCAGTAATTACCTCCAAAAAGTCAATTTCATGGATCATTTTCATTATTTTATTGGTACGCAGTGTTCCTTGTAGTTATTTCTGCTGGGTAATTTGTGGTTAAGCACCTTTTCAACAGTGCGATGGCAGAAGTCCAAGTTAACACGGTGACATTAACATGTTCAGGATCTTTCTGATAAAGCTTACTACGGTTCAGTAGGTTGGTGCTATGTGGGCGTATTTAAGAAATCTCAAATCTCAAAAAAAAAAAAAAAAAAAAAAAAAAAAGAAATCTCAAGTCGTTTTTAACATATTTGCAGAGGTTTACAACAAAGCCAGATGAAACAGATTTAGATTTGTTGGATACACTCCTACAGCAGATTAGAACCGAAAGAAAGTTAAATGGTCTGTGCTGTAAGCTTTCCATTTCTCATGTATGGTTAACACTTTCCTCGGGTTATAAAAGCCTGAAAAACAAACAAACAATTAAATTAAATAGAGTATTATCAAATAATACTAATAACATCTTACTGTTTAAGTAATAAGACCATAAACAGAAGAACACAGAATGTTAATCTGAGAAGACGTCAAAACCTAAAGAGAAGCCGTTAAAAATACTCAGACAAGTTATGATTTCCTCCACACAACATCAAAACTGTTTTTTGAAACAAGGAGCGCTCATTGGTCAACCAACAGTTTCGGCCTAGAGCTTTTAATTAGGCTAAACTTCAGCAGAACCCTTTTTAAACAAAAAGAGCATCACTTCTGCTCACAGGATGTGAGCAAAACACATCTTTTTATTATGTGTATGCAAATAAATGAATAACATGGCCTTCGATGCCCTTCTCCTAATATTTACCATGACAACATATCTATGAAGCGTCACTGTCACATGTCAAAACCTCACCACACGAGCAGGCACAAAACTGGAGAGGGAAGCAATAGGGGGTCTCTTAACCAGGGAAAGTGGCAGACTCAAATATCCAAGACAATCAATTACACCATCCCTTGACATGTTGGCCCCTGTGAAGATATCAGTCACTTGGAAAATGGCCCACACTGGCGACTGCATTGAAACGGGAGGGTAATGTGAGATCCACTCACCATATAATAGATATGCCTTTGTTTGCTTTTCCGCCTTACCTAAAGAGCCTTAAAGACATGAGAAAGCCTGGAGGTCCCCAAGAGAGGAACACCTGGGAAGCCTGTGAATAAACAAACACTGTGCCTCAAATTGAGGGAGGTGTGAAACTAAACAGCCCACTGGCCAGTAAATAAACCCCAAAGCCTATGTAAGCACCTATTTAAAGCTATAACACTTTCAGTAATGGACTGAAGATTTTGCATCTAAGGTGGGCAAGTCAAGGTGGATCATGACCTGATCACTTGTTTGGTTAATGTATTAGCAGTAAGTAGGG